TTTCTACATAAAAATTTAAGATGGAATTTTGTGCAAAACCAAAATGGGGTTGAGCTTCTTAATATTCATATTATAAATGTAAAACTAAATCTATTATTTCATTACTCTTTTACTAAATTCCCAAATCAATGCATTCAATAATTTCTGGAATTTTTTTCATTTTTTCTAAGGCTCTCACTTATAATTTCATTTGATTTTTTACTTTTTTCTTTATAAAAATATAAATTCAATTTGTTTTTTAGAATTCCTTCATCCCAACAATCAAGAATTTCTTAAGTTCGATACTATTTTTCTAATGCTTATGCTAAATTATTAAATAATTTTTCAAACCTTTTTGATTATAATAATAAATATTATTTGGATATTACTTTATACCATCATTCCAACATTCAATAATTTCCTAAAATCTATTTTATTTTTCTAATGCATTACCTATGTTCATAAAAATTTTAAATACATTTTGCTAAATAATATTAGTAATTGTTATTTAGGTTGCTTTCAATTCCTAATTGCCAAATTACAATGATTTCTTCGAATTTTGCTTCCCTTGCTAAAGTATTTGCTTTAATTTAAAAATGATTTTACTTAATTTGATATAGAAAGAGTAATCACACTTATAATATTATTTATTTGAACTCCAAAAATCTATGATTTCTTAAGTTTTTCCTTATTTAACTAATGCAAGAACTAAAATATCAAATAATCTAACTCTTTTCGAATATAGCCCACTAGAAATTTTTGTTGATTGATATGGCAGCATCCCAACACATAATGATTTCTTAATATTTTTTGTTTTCTTCTAATGCCTTTGCTAAAATACAAGAAGATTGTACTTTTTTCATAGTAGAATAACTTGTTATAAGGATTCTATTCTATACCTTTCTACCAACATTCTATAATCTATTATTCATTTCCTTATCTTTTTAATGCAGCAGCTAAATATAAATATAAAATAATGAATACTTTTATATGCATAAAAGTAAAAGTTTGATGAATTTAACGTAATTCCTTAATCCCAACATTATATGATCTCTTATAATTTGCCTTATCTCTCTAAAATTTAGGCTAAAAATTAAAATAATTATACTTTTTTGTATAAAAAAATATAATTCACTTTGATGCTTAAATATAAGATTATCCCAGTAATGTATAATTTCATTACAATCAACATGCTTTTCTAAGGATTTTGCTTGATTTATTTTATAATTTATTATACATTTTTCTAAGTAATAGCATTTTTACCTAAAATCTTGGAGAATTGCTTGATCCCAATTATTTATTATTTCATTTAGTTTACCTAGTTTTTCTAAAAGGATTGCTATAATAACTTGCTATAGATATGAATACCTTTTTATGAATAATATTAATATTTATTTTTATTATTTTCAATTCCTTAATCCCAACATTTTAAAGCCTCTTCATATTTTTAGGTTTTTTCTAAAATGACAGCTAATAATAAAATATATTATCACAACCCTTTTCCATATAAAAAGAGATTGTTGAAATATTATTTTATATTCCATAATTCCATATTTCGATGGCTTCTGAAAATTTATTTTAATTTTGTAGTATGAGTGCTAAAGATTAAAATTAATCTAACCAATTTATTTGTAAACAAAAATGTTATGTTTTTAATAATTTAATATAGATTTATAAAATTCTAAGGCTTCTTCATCTCGACCTTACAATTATAGCGCTTTTGCTCAAAATTTAATTTATTATACCTTTTAAAATCTATTTGATGAAAGTAAATTAAGGGTTATTCTTTTTTTTCATTTACTTTTTCAGTTTTATAAAAGAATTAATAATTAAATTACAAATAATGATATCAATTAAATCTTGCATTTTTATTTCTAATCAAAATGTTACATAGAATGCAAATTAGTTAATAATAAAAATTCAATACAATATATGAACATAACTAAAATAGTTTGATAGCATCCTTTGCAAATTGCTTAAACCTAGATTTAAACATATAAATCCTATCACACCAATATTTTCATTTCAAAATTTTAAGTTTTTTCATGCTATATTCGAATAAATCTTAATAAGATAAATATAATTATAATATTAATTAATATGAAAATACTCAAATAACTTGAAAGTCATCAATAATTATAATAAATTAAACAAAAATAATTTAATTATAAAGAGTCTATATTCAATGACAAAAGTAATCATTATTATTATATGAATAATTCAATTATTATGATCAAAAGTTTTAATACTTATTGTTAACATATTCAAGGAGCTCTTTATAACATGTTTCAAAATTGTCATTAACAATAAAATGATAAAATTAAAATGATTTAGCTTTCTCTATTTCAGTTTCTGCATTCTTAATTCTCTTTTCTATAACATCTTGAGTTTCAGTTTTTCTTCCAATCAATCTTTCTCTAAGGGAGTTGATAGATGGTGGTAATATAAATATGTTCACGCATTAGTTTTGTAGTTATTTATTAATTTTTTCAGCTCCTTAAACATCAATCTCAATGAGAGGTATTTTATTTTATTTGATGATATCGTTTATTTGGTGCTTTGCGGTGCCATAAAAATTCCCGTGCACTTCACAAAATTCTAAAAATGCATCATTTTTGATTTTCTCATCAAAAACATTTTTATCGACAAAAAAATAGTTGACCCCATTCTGTTCATTAGGTCTTGGTTTTCGAGTAGTTAAACTAACACTATAAACAAAGTTTTAGTTATTCTATAGTAATTTGGTGACTAATGATCCCTTAAATTAAATTATTATTTACTTTACCAACTCCACTAGGGCCAGAAACTATTAAAGGTTTAATTGTGGAAAATAAATAAATTGCCTTCATAAATATTTAATAATTAATTTTATTAATAATAATTTAAGATTATCAACTCAGAAATCAAAAGTGTGTTGTTGCTCAAAAAGCAAAAGATTGTGGATTTATTAATTTCAAGACTATTCTTTCTTAAACATTTAACATAAATGAAATATGTTCTATTAATTTTCAATATAAATAGGATATCAACTCCAATATTAATCGTTATTCAGATGATGTTTCATCATTTAATATAAGATTTATGGTTAATCAAAAACAGCAGCATGTCCAGCATTGTATATTGTTACCATAGTAAATTTTTCTGTTTTTTTGAAATTGCCAACTGTTTTTCCATTAGTTTTAAAAATAGATTTTTATGCTGCTTTCCATTGATATATTTATTCTGACTTTAAGCTTGATAACCAATTTTGTGTTCCAGCGTAATTTATGCTAGCATCCATCTAACCATCATAGAAAAGTACTGTTCCTTTGTTTAGTAAGTCTTCAATAATTTTTGTCAAATCAAAAGAGAAATCTGATTCCATCTGTTACTTGACTTATTAATTACAAACCTCAGTTATACTGTTCTAAATTCCAAATTAATCTTTATATTTATTCATAAAACTAATCCAATCATTTGATCTTTTTTATTCTTGTTTTAATAAAATATTAGTTAGATCAGTTTTTGCAAAAGTTTCTAATTTGTCTTAATATTAGATAAAGGCTGATCCTGCTAATTTATCTTACTACTTAAGAATCATCGATTATATTTGATATTCTTCTTTCTTTATCACCTGCTTAAATTCATCACTTATATATCCATTCACATATAAGAACGAAGATATCGATGATGTTTAATGTAACATACTTTATAATCCATTTCCAATAATAATTCCTTAATAATTGAACTTGATGTCACTATTAAGTAAACTGCTTGAAAATTGAGGAGCAAAATGGCCTGTATAACTAAAACCAGTAAGGTATGTTTTGGCTAATAAAAATTCAGGATGAACCTTGAAAAACTCAACCATAAATTCTACAAAATAGGTTGAAGCTTGTAATGTTGAATTAATTAGTATTTCTCCTTAACTAAACCCAGTTTCAAAAGGCTGATCAATAAATAATATTGAAGCAAAGTCGTTCCAACTATTATCTTTTTTTTCAATAGTAAAGTCAGTATCAGATTTTGTAATGCGGAATGGCCCAATCAATTCAAAAAATGCACTCTATGATGAACAACCAGGACCTCCTTAAAGCCAGATCAAAAATGTATGGTCTTTTGTGATTGTTTACTCATTAAGCCCTTTTTAGTATACTAATTAATAAAACATGTTATTCTTTTCTTTAGATAACCCTGAAGCAGACCCACTTTCAACATCAAAATCAATTGTTAAATACTTGCTATATAAGTCTAAGAGGTTGTTATTAATTTGGTTTACCTTTCAAAGATTTTTTTGTGATTGCTGCATGTGTAAAACATATAAAAAGGTAAAAAAGCATTTAATAATTAAGGAAATATTTAATACAAAAATTACATAAATTTTGAAAAACTCCTAATTGAAAATTAAATTAATAAGTTATTTATCTCTATAAAATTATAAATAGCATTAGTTTATTAACAATATTAGATATCTAAATTGATTAAAAATGAGGTTAATTTTTGAGTGAACTTTATAATTTATTGAATTAACACTTAATTTATATCAATCATGTAAGGTTAAATATTTATGTGATTTCAAATAAAAATGGTACAGTCCTAGAGCAAAGGTATTAGTGTTTGAACATTATTAATAGATACTATTATTGATATTATCTTTGAATTAGGTTTAATTGATAAAAACGATATAAATAAAAATAAATGGCAGATAAAGGCGGAGCCAAAGGAGGAGCAGGAGAGGAGGGAAAAGAAGGAGAAGATAAAGAGCCAGAGAAAGGATGTTGCGATAAATATGCCGAATGTTTAGTCGTGACTGGTAAAGTAAATAATCTATTTCTATATTAAGGCTGTCTACACTTGTTGTTTGGCTGTTTGTACATGTATACGAGAATGTTTGGGATTTATATGGTACCCTTGTAAAGAAAGATGTTGTGGATGTCTTGATAATTGTGATAAGCATTACAATTAATGGAAAGATGAAGGATTTACAGATGTATGAAATTGAGTACTGCAGTTTTTTTTATAATTAAATTTTCTCCAGAAGATCATTTTGTTTTATACAGTTATTTACATAAAATCTAGATACAATTTCGAAAAAAAAAATAATGGAATTCTAAATAAAAGTCCCCATTAGTTCTAGAAAATGTTTGTTTTAGAGATTAGTGTTTAGTTCTAATGAAAATAAGTTACTTAGACCATCGCATTATATTAATAATATAGAATANGGTTGAAGCTTGTAATGTTGAATTAATTAGTATTTCTCCTTAACTAAACCCAGTTTCAAAAGGCTGATCAATAAATAATATTGAAGCAAAGTCGTTCCAACTATTATCTTTTTTTTCAATAGTAAAGTCAGTATCAGATTTTGTAATGCGGAATGGCCCAATCAATTCAAAAAATGCACTCTATGATGAACAACCAGGACCTCCTTAAAGCCAGATCAAAAATGTATGGTCTTTTGTGATTGTTTACTCATTAAGCCCTTTTTAGTATACTAATTAATAAAACATGTTATTCTTTTCTTTAGATAACCCTGAAGCAGACCCACTTTCAACATCAAAATCAATTGTTAAATACTTGCTATATAAGTCTAAGAGGTTGTTATTAATTTGGTTTACCTTTCAAAGATTTTTTTGTGATTGCTGCATGTGTAAAACATATAAAAAGGTAAAAAAGCATTTAATAATTAAGGAAATATTTAATACAAAAATTACATAAATTTTGAAAAACTCCTAATTGAAAATTAAATTAATAAGTTATTTATCTCTATAAAATTATAAATAGCATTAGTTTATTAACAATATTAGATATCTAAATTGATTAAAAATGAGGTTAATTTTTGAGTGAACTTTATAATTTATTGAATTAACACTTAATTTATATCAATCATGTAAGGTTAAATATTTATGTGATTTCAAATAAAAATGGTACAGTCCTAGAGCAAAGGTATTAGTGTTTGAACATTATTAATAGATACTATTATTGATATTATCTTTGAATTAGGTTTAATTGATAAAAACGATATAAATAAAAATAAATGGCAGATAAAGGCGGAGCCAAAGGAGGAGCAGGAGAGGAGGGAAAAGAAGGAGAAGATAAAGAGCCAGAGAAAGGATGTTGCGATAAATATGCCGAATGTTTAGTCGTGACTGGTAAAGTAAATAATCTATTTCTATATTAAGGCTGTCTACACTTGTTGTTTGGCTGTTTGTACATGTATACGAGAATGTTTGGGATTTATATGGTACCCTTGTAAAGAAAGATGTTGTGGATGTCTTGATAATTGTGATAAGCATTACAATTAATGGAAAGATGAAGGATTTACAGATGTATGAAATTGAGTACTGCAGTTTTTTTTATAATTAAATTTTCTCCAGAAGATCATTTTGTTTTATACAGTTATTTACATAAAATCTAGATACAATTTCGAAAAAAAAAATAATGGAATTCTAAATAAAAGTCCCCATTAGTTCTAGAAAATGTTTGTTTTAGAGATTAGTGTTTAGTTCTAATGAAAATAAGTTACTTAGACCATCGCATTATATTAATAATATAGAATAATTAAAATCAGAAAGTAATTTGACTGTCTTCATGAATTTTAGCACTCTTTCCTTCTAGAAATGCATATTTCCTTAATTCTTTCGATACCCAATAAGGACAATCAGGAATTGCTGCTCCAAGTATATATTTAATAAGTAATAAAATATGTTCTATAGCTGCAAGAACTAAGGCTTGAAATAAGGGATCAGTATCCCCAATCAATTTTTCAAATTCAGATTTATTTACGATTCCAATCACTATGCAATTCATGAAGGTAGAACAATAATTCATAATCTCAAAAATGGATAGCCAAATTCCAATTGAATCAGCAGCTTAAGCTCTCTTTAGTAATGTAATATCTTACCTCTCTTTTTAGCACTTTTTAATAATTGTAAATGGAGAATTGAAGGTTGATGTATTGATTTAACAGAAAAAAAAGTGGAGCAGCAGCAAAGGCAGGGGAAAACATTGTTGTATATCCAAATTGAATGGCTATACTTGTATACTCATTATATAGTTCCTTTTATGGTTATTTATTATGGCTATCCTCCATTATTTGCATAAATTTAATCTAATCTTCAAGGTTTAACTTTTCATCTACATATTACATTTCAGAAATTTTGAAATCTTTACAAAAGTCATGAAATTTATCAAATTAACCTTTTAAAACCCATTTTAAATATTTGTAGAATAAATAAGGCATACAATTACTTGTTAAATTTGAGATTAGTCCTCTAGTAATAATTATGCTAGCTACTGATAAAGTTAATTGAGTTTGGTCAGATTTAAATAACACAGCATATACAACTGAGATATAAGAGATTAAGAATTCAAACAAAAAGACTTTTAAAACATAAGAGTATTACATTGCTAAATCAAATTTATGATTTTCCCAATTAACAACTGATTTACACAAACGTTTATATAGGTCACAAAAGACAGTCATACTTACTCCATTAAGAGAATTAATTATTATTGGCATATAAATATTGTTTGGTTCTTGGTTTTATTGCCAAATATTGAAGGCAAAGAAGCTCACGACTATAATAGCTATCCCTAACAATATTACTGGGAATTCAACTATCATTCTTCTTTTAAATGTTGTAAATGAATCATAAATTCCTATTTTATTTGTACATTGATTGATAACATATTCACCAGTATACATTACTCTTTAAGGTTCTTATTATTTGAATTTATGCATGTCCCATATATATTTAAATTCAGATTCTCTATTTTTCCATTTTTCCATAAATAATGTTGCCCATAGTGACATAAACAAAGCATAAGCTGGTAAAATGGAAGCACTAATTTTATACTAATTAATTTATACTGAACTTTATCAGCAAATAGCTGATATAATTGAATAGCAGAACCTACTAGAGCTGGAATAATAAGCCAACCCACAATTTAGACATTAAAAGATAAATACCAGGCAATTACTGGTCCATAATATGCTGCTATGGAATTTAATGGTCTTAATGAAAATTAATGAGTTTCAAATCTGATTGTATCTCTAATGCAATTATATTATAGTTCTTTCCATAACTAATCAACTTTTGATGATTTTGAAATATCTTCAAGTGGAAAATGAGAGATCACTAATCCTTCTAATATAAATTTGTCTAAATCAAATTCTTCATTTAATGTATTAACAATTAGAGATTATATCTACAAAGGTTTAGGAAATTCATAATGAGCATAATCTCTATATTTAAACTTGGCTAAATGCTATAATTAATCAAAATATTACTTTCTTAGTAAAATGATAGCATTCAATTTCATATTTATCTGCTAGTTTATAAATAGTATGTGCTGTTAATTTTAGAACATAATAATGATGTTGAATTTTATTCTCTTTAGTATTTCTTAGATAATTATAATTTGGAGTATTGATTACAATAAATTCAAATTCCATGTCATTTTATTAAAAGGATTATCTAATATTTTGTAATTATAACATAACAATATCTTGATTAATATCCAAAGATCCTTTAGTTTAAAGAACGTACATATATCCCATAAAATTAAAACTTTGTTCATGTTTTTTTAGATATTAATTCTCATAAAATTTGACCATTTTAGTATCAAATGTTAGTTCAAAAGGTTTTAAACATCTATGATTTAACACATCTACCGAAACCCCATTTTCCACTAATAACTTCATACATTCAAAATTATTAATTTCAATGGCTAAATGTAAGGCATTGGAAGGATTCAAATCAGTCATCATATTGAAAGCATTATTCTAATAATTAAAAATTAATAATACTTTATTAAATATAACTTTGCTTTACTAAGTCTTACTTAATTCTTCTTCAGTAATGTAAGGTTATTTTTCCTTCAGTTATTCAAGTTCTTTGTATTTATATTCATTCTCTAAAATAAATCTAAGAATATTATATTTTCCTTTGTTTGCTGCAATATGTAGGCAATTAAATCCTTAATATTAAATTAGAAATGGATTGCATCCCTTTTTTAAAAAGTATGTAAAAAATTCTATTGATTCAATTCTTGTTGACCAAAATTATAATCTACATTCAAACAATTACCTCTTACTTTAACTTTTTGTAAAATGAAAAATGTAGTAAGGTTCATTATTAAAAGTTGTACTTTTCCTTTTAAATAATTTCTATCCTGGTTTTTTTAAAGAAGGTTTCATAGATCTAAATTATTAAGCATCCTTCATTGATAATCTAAAATCCTCTTAAGATATTTGCATTTCTTGAGAAAATTGCCTTCCAAATTAAGAAGGAGCACATGACTATTGACATTATGATGGTTAATATCGAGATAATTCATATTGTGATTATATATTATTTGATTTAAAAGGACGAGGAATTTCATCATCTGATTAAAGAAGATTTTTTTAATTATTTCTTTCACTTTCCAAATCACTCTTAGAATTGAGTATTTTATTTGATTAATCCAAATAATTTTTATGAGGATCCATGAAAATTGTATTAGTTGGCTACAGTATTTTGACTGTTGGAATTTTCTCTGCTTCTGGTTCATTAAGTTCTAATTAGGAATCATCAAATGGAATTTCATTAGTTATATTTTTATTAGGTAATTTTGTCATCTTCTCTTTAATCTACTTAAATTATTAACTTAGTTTTGAAGTTAAGGAATCTCTTTTTTGAGAATTAGTACATGTTTATCTTACCTTTGACATTAAGGTCATAGTAGTTAAACCTGCGTGCAAATAATTTTAGGTTCTTTCTTCAGATTCACTATCTATTTCATTTGCAGGTTCTTTCAAGTGTAATCTCTCTCTACTATCATTTCCTTATGATTTTAACGATTAGGATCGAAGAGTCATAGTCATTTAAGTATTGAGATTACGAATATTTTTGAATTGGTGATTATATATTGTATATGCATACTCCACTACTGTTGCAATAAAAATACCTTTGTAATTCCTCCTAAAAAATATGAAATTTATCAAAATACTAATATTCCTAAGGTCTATTCTCTAAGAATAAATAATCAACAGGATACATGCCAAATTAGTCTAGTTGATATTGAAGATCAGGGTAATTTGACAAAAGAAATTTTATTAGCTCTGTATTTCCATAATAATAGGCCCAATGAAGTGGAGTGGCTCGTTTATATGGATTATCTACTGGTACTATAGCCTTATTCTCAATTAATAGTTTGATTAGGCTAAATTAAATCAAGGAGTCCTATTCTTTCATAAAGCTGTAATTAATAAGAATATTGAATTTACCCTTTAATACTCGCTAATTCTAAAGGAGTATAATGATGCATATCAGTCTTATTAAGATCAATGTATTAAGAGTAGGATTATAGCCAATTTTCTAATAATTCCAATTATCCGAAATAGGCAGCCCAATGGACTACATTACGTTTTTAGTTGTCAATCATCTTAAAAAAGAGTTAAAGTCCTTTTAAATTGCCAGCTAGGTTTTCACGAAAGTAAGTTGCCAAAGTTTATGCGTTTCCATCTTTGACCCATTCTAGTAATTGAGTTTGGGTTATCTTATACATTAATATTGAGAAGAAATAATAATTGATTAATCCATTTCTGAAATATCTAATAGTTTTTAAGATACAAAATTAGTATTATCAAAATCTTAATGTATTAATCTGAGCCACATTTTATGTAAGTTCAGAATCCCAATGATATTATAACAGATAATTAATTAATGAAAACATTGCATTTCCAAGATTAAACATTCATCTAACCTTATTATACTCCTAGAGGAGATTCCTATAGATTTGATTATCATAAATAATAAACTATGTAGCTTTTGAATAAGGTTAAAAGACATCTTTAAAAATGTGACTCAAATAGATATCGAAGTGAGAGAAGATCACCAGTTGATGTTAAGTATTTAGATAATCAATTGAGAGATGAAGTTAAAGATGATTATGTAGAATAAAATGCAGACCAAGAGTTTAAAATCTTAAATGGAACATGTTTGAAAGAAATGTTAGCATATAACAACATTTAAGATGTGCGTAAATTAGATGAAGAATAAGAGTTTGCATAAACTATGATGCCAAAGTAAAGAAGATTAAAGAAATTATAATCGACTATATTAGTTACTAAACTAGTAAGAGCTAAAGGTATAGATAAGAAGTCAATCCAGTAAATTGATAAAGAAAAATTAGAAGAATTCATGTCAATCCACAAAGATTAAATAAAAGCAGATAAAAAGTCTAAATTAAGTAAACTGAAACTTCCCAATATTCCAGAAGCATCTTCTAGAAGATTTTAGAGAGCAACCATAACAACTTTCAGAGAGTTTAAATAAAATTCATCTGAAATTGATGGTTCGCCTTTGGTGTAAAGATAAACTTCATTAACATTAATATCAGATACTAAAATTCCTATAGTGAGGTAGGGACAATCGAAAAAAACAATTGGTTTATTAATTGATAGAATAAATGAAGAAAAAACATCAATAATTGAATAAAAGAAAGACATCAAAACTTCAATAGCGAAAGTATAGAAACATTTTGATAAAATAGATATCTTTAGTAAATTAGATAGACAAGAAAAATTTAATTATTTAAAATTTGAGTAAAGAATTTTTGGTAAAGGTAAACACAAGAGATACTTTTGAAATAATTAATTTTTTTGTTAAAAGCTTTTTTAAAATTCAATAAATGATAATTAAATTATAGATTTTAAGAATTAATTATAATTAGATGTTGTTTATCAAAGTATTTAATAAAGAATATATTAAGTTCTTTAAGAGTACTCCTATCCTTAAGTCTTAAATTAAATTCGTTTTCATTGAAATAATAGAATTCTTTAATTATTCGATTTGCTGGAAATAGAAAAGAATAAAATTTAATTATCCAAATTATCTTAAAATTATCTTATTTTATATTAATTATTTTTGAAGATTAAAAAAAATGCATAAGATTTAATAGTGATGGGATTTAAAAAGTTGTTATTTTCACTATTTTAAAAGGGGGCTTCTAAATCAAGACCTAAAGTGGCCAAAGTTGTAAAGACATAAAGATTACTAATAAAATCGAGCTGGATGTTCTCATTTTTTAAATACATATTATTATTAATAATAAGAAAAATTAAATTAAATACATAGAGGTATTTTTTGACATTATTTAATCTTACAATTAAAACAAAAATAAAATAAAAATATATTAAATCACATTAATTAATGTATTTGCTCTCTTATTAATTTTGACTCTACATTCATCTAATTCTATTAAATTTAGATATTCTTTTTTATTGATTCTATTAAACATACATCTATGTTTAAAGATTTATTTTTGATATTGAATATTAATACTTTATGATAAGTTAGCAATAATAACAACAATACTTACGATTATTTATTAGAATGTTCCCCTGAATTAGTATTTAAATATGAAATTAGATTATTTATTAGTTATTTGAGATCTCTCAAATCTTAGTTTGTATATATTTGTTTATTTTGAGTATAATTGATTAAATCCTTATGTAAAATAACCATAGTGTTAATCTCAATTTTACAATTCACATGATTAGGAATAAGTTCTAATTAATTACTCAAAGTTTTTATCAATTATTATATCGAAGATTTACCTTAAAATGGAGAATGTTATTATTAATAGCCAAAATTACCACTTAAACTATTTGTTCTTTTAACCCTTTCAGTCTTTGGATTTCTGAACATAGTAAAATAATCAGAACCTTTATTGTCTTCAAATTAGAATTCAGAAACTTTCACTAAGTCTAAATCATAATTTTATTTATTTGAAGTATTAGTTGAATGTGATTATAAAGCACTTGGAGTTCTACATGAATCATTATTACTATTTAGTTTTTGTTGAACATGATGGATTTTCTCCAAATAATTATTTAATTCTGATCTTTAAGTGTGAAATTTTGAATTTTAAGAGTTACTTCTTTCTCTCTCTACTTTTCCTGGATTTTACTTTAATTTTTCTTTAAGATCCAAATAACTAGTAATCTATTTTTATTTTTCATTGATTGGAGTTTTATTTTCATATCTTTTTATTGTATTATTAGTAAGAAAAGCAGTATTACTAAAACTTCTATTATGTTTATTAATTTATTAACATAATGATTCAGTTCTTTATTTTATTCTAAGCATTTGTATTGAATACTTTGATTAATTATAATTTTGATTTTCCCTTTGAGTTGCAATTTAAGTATCCTCTTTAATTGTTGAAGTAGGAGACTCTTATTAATTATCAATAGTTTTTAAATTTATATTAACAGAATTAAATAGATCTTCCCAACTCCATCTTTTTTCTTCATTAATCTAAAGACAACCTTTAATGAGTTTCTTTGTGTTTTCTGAAACTTATGGATGTACTGGAAAAGATAAAGGCTAATTTAATAAAATTAATATAATTACTTTAGAATCCAATTTATTCATTAATTCAACAAGATTTTAAGAATGCCATGGAGTCATCCCATAAAGCATTTCATATAAAATTAAACCTAATGACCAAACATCACATTTGGAAGAATATTTAGTTCTTTTTAAAATTTAAGGACTCATATATAATGGAGTACCAACTAATGAATTCATTATGGTATCTAGATTAGCATCAATTTATTTGGCAAAACCAAAATCAGTTATCTTGAATTGATTATCATGGACAAGAATATTTGCTGGTTTGATGTCTCTATGAATGATTCCAATTTTAAGTAGAGCCTTAATTCCTAATAATAAATCATTCATGATCTTGAGTGCTTCATCTTCAGGAATAACTCTAAATATATGAATATAGTACTTTCTATTCTTTATAAATTCCCTTAAATCTCCTCCATTACAATACTCAGTTATTATGTATGTATTATTTGCACTTTATAGTACATCCAATAGTTTAACAACATGAGAATCATTAATTTTCTTCATTATTTCAATTTCTGAAGCAATTAATTGATTGGCATAATCAGTAAGAAGTAATTTTTTGTCAATTACTTTGAGTGCAACAATGTTATCTATATTAGAAATGTAAATATACTATCTAAGGTATTTCTTCCAGCATAAACTGTGCCATAAGCACCTTTCCCCAATTTGGCTTTAAAACTGAATTAATAATTCTAAATTTTTTTATCAGGAGGGTAGCTGAGATGTTACATTTTATATTTTGAATTTGAAATATTTATTTAATGTTTAGAATTATATTATAATTTAAAATTTATGGTGAAAATAGTTTGATTGAATTAACTCATAGTTATTGATAACAATTAATTAATCATTTTCATCAATTGTTTTGAAATGTTTTCATAAGATTACCATTATTAATCAGATACATAAAATATTTTTTATTGATTTAATTTTATATATAAAATATATATAATGGCAAAGTTTTTCGAAAATATATGGGAAAACATACTTGTAATAGTCTTGGGAGTTTTGCCTCTTGTTTAAAATTTAGTTGGTTTAGTATGGAAGAAACAAAATAAAAGTAAGAACTCATGCATCTAAAGATAGACTATAAGGCTGCGTAGTTAAAATTTAAAGAAAAGAGAAATATTTTTATTTTGAATCTATGTTCAATTTACACAAAAATAGCAATTTTATGTATGTTTACACTTTTGTCAATATTACAAATAGTCATCAATACATAATTTCATTCAGAGTATATTATATTATTTTAACTAGTTATGTTTTGATTATAATTATAGAATTTTGTTAGATAATTAATTATTTGTTGACAGGATTGCAAGTATTTGAAGATGCAGATAAATATGGATAAACAACATTTGTTACTCAATTCAATCTTATTGTATATTATGGAATATCTATATAGTTGCAATTTCTATGTTTTTGTGGTTTTGCTATTATCTTATTTACTTGGTAGAATAATAATGTAGATAAATTTGTGATCAGACATGAAGACATTAGTTGTTGGTTAATGTTTATCTTAAGAGGAGTAGTCCTTTTATTATTTTCAGTCTTGGTGTTCTTTATGCCATAAGATAAAAAGCTTCTATAAACTGTTGTATCAGAATACAAATACAAAAAATAGATGCTTGGTAATGATGAAGAAACCTAGATAAGGTAATAATTATTAACAAATGAATCTACTTTTACATTTTGTTAACCAGACTCTTAAAAATAATAAGAAATTACAAATATAGAAGTGAAATCTTATTAAGACAATAAGGATATAAATACATAAAGAAAATATATTATTTATGAAATTACTTTCAAATATCAGGGCAAACATAAAATAGTATTTAGATCTTTCAGTGATTTCTTATCATTTCATAGAGATTTATCATTAACATATCCATAAATAAAATTACCTTAATTTCCATAAATGACAAGATATCTCACTCCATAAGATATTGATAATAGAAGATAATAATTAGATTTATTTTTATAAGGAATATCTATACAATTTAATGATAATGAATTGCTGTTAGATTTTTTGAATGCTACTGGAAAGTGTTTATAATACAAACCAAGAATACCTTTACCTTAACAATAATAATAATAAAGACCAAAAAAGATTGCAACATAGTAATAATATTCAAAAGCAAAATCTATATAAAGTTTGATACCAGAAACTATTTGGGAAGGATAAAATGATGAAGATGAAGAGAGTATTGAAGTAGATACAAGAAAAACAAAGAAGGCTTCTACATATGTAAAATTTTAATTTGGAGAAGAAACACAATATTAGAGATTTAATAGTGCTAATGATCTTGATGATGATCATAGAACTTTTGATTATGAGAAACCTTCAGATGGTATTAATATATATGATATATTTTATAGATTAAATAGGCTTTGATTAATTTTAAGATAATGATCACTCTTTTGAAGAAGAAGAAAAACATTCATCACAAAATATGATGACAATGTAATGAGATTTATTTTGCTTTATATACTATTTATATAAATATGTTTATAACAAAAATATATGAGACATAAACCTTAAGCTTAAGTTCCTTAAAAGTAGGCTAATACACTTAAACCTTGAGAAAGGTATAAGTGAAAATTTAATTTAAGTAGACCAGGATTAACAAATGATCAAATTAGAAAGGCATTCAATTTTTTGATTCAAAAGGAACTAGAAGAGTAGATCGAAGTAAATTAAAGTTAGTTAAGAAGAATTTAGATTTTGATTAAAAATTTCACAAATTCTCATATGATTTTGGAAATTGAAACTGAAGAATATTAAGTGCCAGATAAGAGATAGAACTGATATTGATTTTGATTAACTTTTAGACGAAACTAAATCTAATATAGATAATCAAGAAATGAAAGTTAGAATCCATAAATATTTGATTAATTTGATGATAAAGGAAGCAATGGCATTAATTTGATTAATTTTAATTAAGTAAAATGAAAATTAATAAGTTAGGTATCAAAAGAATTAGATGAGACTATGACAGTTTAAGAATAGATTGAATTTTTGGAATGTGCAACTTAAAATGGTAGAGAAATTACAAGAAAAGTCTTTAATAATATCATGGGTTAAGGGGACATTTTGATATCCTTTGAGATAACATAATATATATTTATATTTTTAATAATAAAATGATTAAATTGGAAGCACACACATTTTAAAATAAAAATGTATCTCAAACTATGTTGATAGAAGATAAATGTCCTATTGATATTATAAAGCAAAAGAAAATTATTTTCAGGAGAGAATAGATGAATGATGATTCTAACTTCTTTATTCAAGTATATAAAACAATCTAATTCAACAGACTGAAGATTCATAAGAAATCATTTCAATAAAACCTGACAATCCAGATTTCATTATGAATAACTTCACTAAAATAGCGATATAAGAAAATATCTCAGATTTCTAAGCTTTGGAATTTCATCATAGAGCTGCAAAATTATTAGAATTTTATACTATAAATTAGTATTTACTTATTATAACATAGAATATAAGTTTAATACACATCTGTCTTATTCTCTAAAATTAATTATGCTATTATGTTAAAGAGATATTAAGCATATGATGAATGCTTAAGTATACTATTAGATTGTGATCAGATTCTAAAAATTAAGGGGAAAACTTTAAAAAAAGGAACTTTTGATTCTATAGTAATGGCTAAGATAATATAAAATAAACTACTTAGATTGAGAGTAAAGTTTTAAATTACTTTATTATTTTCTGAAATCAAAAGGTATTCAATAAAATTTTTAGACAAGAAATAAGTAGGCTTTAGACATTGCAAAAGACGCTTTAAAATTATTAAGGAGTATCATTTAATCTACAATAAAACTATGTTAACAAATAACTCTATTAAATAATGTTAATAAAAAATATAGAGCAAATTCAGAAATAAATTCTCCAATTTAAAAGAATTCTTAATCACAGTCAGTTAGTTAACCTTAATAATAGGCTTAGACTTTAAGTTATCCATAAATAGTTGAAATTGTATTTAAAGAGATTTTGAATTCAATAAGAAGTGTAATGCCTTATGATGATAAATCAAATGAAAGTGGTAGTTAAAATAATCTGTTAGTTCGCAATCATTAGAATAGAAGTTAATCTTTATTTACAACTGAGTAGATATTTTAGACTTAAATAAATAATTAATAAAATAAACTATTCACAATTATTGAAGATAATCATCCTATATTATAAATGTAAATTTTAGGATTGATGCAATTAACATATGTAGATTTAGAGGAATTATTTCCCATCAATAATTATGAAATGGTTATAGCAGAAGAAGTAATCTTAGAGTTGGTACTTCATTCTAGAATACATTATAGATTATGTTAACTGGCTTAAGTTTTTATAGTATATCAACTGAATTAAGATTCCTGAATACTCAACAAAATAAAATGAACATTGAAATATGGTTAGGAAAAGCTTTAGAAATATTTTATACTTTTGTTCCTCATTCAAGTTTAATATTTACACAAATCTATTAAGTGTATCAAAAACTTTATGGAGTTGATAAATAATCAATAGTATTTTATTATAATCATTCAATTAGCCTGAAGATGAAGAAGTTGAATATCATACAAAGTTATTAAAGCCTCATATCTTTAATAATAAAGCAACACTATCAAATAAAATTGTAATTGTAATCAAAGTTCCTATATTAAATAAATAAACTAAAGAATCATTTAAAATGTCAAATCAACCTAATTCAACAATTATAAAACTATAACAAACTCTAACAGCCAAAAAATAAATACTATTTCCATAAAAACATTATGTTACTCAATAAGAAACTGAAAAAAAGTTTGAAACATAATAATAAGAAGAATTAATAATTTCACCAAAATAATAATAACAATAATAATTATTTATAAAGAGAAACAAAATACTATAACCATAATTGGATATAAAATAAAGAGTAGATATATTAATGAATTAAATTTTAAATTAATAAGCTAAATTAACTTAAGAAAAATTAAAATAGAAACATATACCTATTACTACTTTAAAATAAAAGTATTAAATAAGTAATAAAGTTTATGATCAACCAAAATTATTGAATCTAACAAATTCATAATAATTAAAAACAGCAATTCCAATTAGTAGATCATTGTCTAATTCTCGTAAAGCTAGTTAAGTTCATCTTTAAAGTTAAAATAATAATAGTGCAAAGACTGCTTAATTAAGATATAGAAATTAGATTAATACTTTACCTGGTGATGAACCTTCAAAATAAATTGCTTAATAGATTTCTATTTAAGTTGTTAGTTTAAATCGTTAATCTAATGTATTATACTCTTAATTTTAATAGAAATACTTTCTACTAAAACGTAGTGATTCTGCAAAAAAATCAAAAATACCATTTTAATAACGTTGAATTACTTATAAATATATTTAATATATGTCTACAGAAGCAGAAATAAAAGAATTTCTTAAAAAAAAAGACTTTTATGAGATTTTAGGAGTTTCTAAGACTGCTACAGATGAAGAACTTAAAAAAGCTTATCGTAAATTAGCTTTACTTTATCATCCAGATAAAAATAAAAATCCTAGTGCTAATGAGGCATTTAAGAAAGTTGCTTAAGTATATAAATAATATTATTTAGGCTTATGATTGTCTTTCTAATCAAGATAAGAGAAGAACTTATGATTAATATGGAACTGAAGAACCAGAATAACATTATTAGCATTATAGACAATAATGGGGAGAAAGTCCGGCTGAATAAATATTTAGAGCTTTCTTTTAATAAAATGGAGGTTTTGATGAATATTTTGGAAATGGATTTGGTACTGAATTTGGAAATGGTATTGGTGGATTTTAATTTTTTCAAACTGGTCCTGGAATGTTTTATTATTAAAATGGTCCAAGAAGACATCGTGGTCATCATTAATAACGTAACAGGAGATAAGAATATGAAGAATAAGAATTTATGAATTAAAGAAGATAAATGAATAGAGGAGTCAATTGGTTATAACTTACATGTTATATAATTTTTATTTACATTTTCTTTGGAAGTTCAATAGGTTAATTCTTAAATTACATATTTTCTGAAAAACCTTATCATTAAACAATTAAAGATAGTACTTATAGAAATTTATTAGAAACAGATGTATATATATAAATATAATGATTAATTAGATTTTGGGATAAAAGTTCTTTGCAAGAGATGAATATTTAAGGAAGGATGAATTGTTTAAAAAGAATTATGAAACAGAAATTGATAGAGAATATTTAGTTGAATTAGATAATTAATGTATAAAGTCTAAAAATGAAAAATAAAGATTATTGCATGAAGCAAAGAAATCATGGTTTGTTAGTACCTAAGAAAAATACTATAATTAAGCTAATTAAATTAGTATGGCTAGTTGTAATTAAATAAATGAATATCGAAAAAGTATTAAAAACTTTTCTCAGATTTTTAAAATATGAATAGTTTTGTGTACATTTATTGATATCAATTAATTGTATGTATATGAAGCAATTACTAATTATATAAAAATACTAAAATCAATTGGATTAATGAGGAGGTTGAAATTAAAATATTATTCGATCAGGTGATTCAATATCTTATTAATCAAATTCAGAATGACCAAAAAATATTTATTATTTTGCTAAAGGTGAACAAAAATCAAAACAGGGAGAATTTAAAAAACAAGGTGATTGATATTCATGACAATAATTTCTTTATACAGGGGAAATCAAATCTTCATGTAGAAATTATTATTATTATTATTGTAATTTTTATTACTCTAATAATTCTTATTTAGATTATTCTACTCCTGTTAATGATTCAAATTTAATATTCATTTCACATTACTCCTTTTAATTTGATGGAATATATTACACTTATTTATCTTCTTAGTCTTGATCTAAAAATATATCATTTTCTATATCAATTGCATTTTGATTCATTTTATGATTATAATTAAAAAAATCATCTAAAGAATCTTTTTCTTCAATTATAATACAATGTTAATTTTAATCATATTATTATGGTATTTTTCTATTTACTATTGAATTTATATGATTTAATTCAAGTTTATTGAATTCTTAAATATAACATTGATCTAAAAATTTATTCATTTTAGTTTTAATTATTTTATTTTTAAATTAAATTAAATTCTCTAGACTTTAATAAATATCGTTAATATATGTTCTAATAAATCTAATTTTTTTGATTTCTTATCTATTAAATGATTTAACCAAAGGTCTAATATTTTTTGATTAATATACAGATATACTAGTAAGACAATTATTAATTGTAAAAGATTCTGGGAATTTTCGATTTACTAATTTTGATAATTTTTCAAGTGAAAATGAAGAAATTATAAAATTTTTATTATATGGTAAAGAAGCTTATTTCTCATAACAATTTAACAAAATATCATCAAATTCCTATTAATTTACATTTAAATTTATAGATGAGAATTATTATTATGCTTGTTTTTTCACATAATCAATAATATTTAATTGATTTTCTTTTATTGTTAATGATTCCCAAATGCTGCAAACAATTTATTCTATTAATGTTTTTTTCTTTATTTAGATATCATTATAACTAGATAGAATTAATTTTAAACGATCTTATTCTAATTTTGGAGATGGTAATCCTATCAATTATAAACATAATTATTGTTTTTCATAAATTTCTATTTTCTTTATAATATCTTCAATTGATTTACACTTACTAGATAAATATGTATGAATTCCAGTATCAAAACTAAATTTATCTTATATAATAAGTTGATCTTCATTTTTTGGTTCTAAATTTTAACTGTTTTCTTGACTAATATTATTTTCTGAATCAATATAATTCAAAAAAGTTGATGGAAAATAGCATTTTTCTGTCTATTTTTATTTCTTCTTTTACTTTTTAGTTCTACAATCTAAACTACCTTAATTTATTGTTGTAAAAGTTTTAGCTGAAGTTTTAGTTTCTAAATATGATATTGAATTCTTTTCAGTTTAATTATCTACATCATTTAAATATCTAAATCTATCTTCTTATTTTATACTATATTTATCACTTAACTATAAATCTATATTTATAATTTTATCTAATTCTCCAGATAATTAATTAAAACTGTTAATTATATCAGTTCCATCATTATAATCTTTTGATTCAATCATAATAATCAAATTTCGAAATTCTTCCAATTTATCTATTATTGATTAGATGTATTTTCTCATCCTCCTCACATTTTTTAAATCAGTGATGTTACATAATTATTTAAAATCATCCATAGATTTTGCATCATAAACTTAACAAAAGCATTTATGTTGTAGACTCCTCAAAAACATAGGCATTGGACTCTCTAACAAAGCAAAGAAATTAGCATATTCAAACTAAGTATAAGGTATTTTACTATAATAGGGATTACAATATCGGGATTCAAAAAGTGATTCGATTTCCTATTCCCATTCCTTGTTACTCCATTCTATTTTTATTCCTTTTATTGCTAGGAATTATTCAACCCTATTTCTTATGGTTTATAATCTAGTCTCTTGATCTTCTATGCTGGTAACTTCACCTATGAAGCTTATTAACACTCTAATCATTCGTTTCTATTCATTTTCATTTTATTCCATTATCCCATTAAGATAGGAGAATATTTGACTACTGTCTACTTGTATGGTTGGAAAACCAAACAAACAAACTAGTTGTCGTTTTAATAAGTTCATATTGCACTTCTCAATTATTCTTTCTAATAGTTATTTCTCAGATTCTTTATAATCAACCTCATATTCTGCAGAATACCAATTCTGTTAATTCTCGAAATCAAACATATCATCCTATTCAGACATCAATTTATTTATAAATTATATTAATAATTCTAACATCACTATTTAAGAGTCACTGTTACAAGCAACCAGAGATTATCACTTGATTAAGAAAATATTCATTACTTTATCTATTTATAATATATAGAATCTTTGATCAATCAAGAGAATAGCATAATTTATTATTAATTAAAATTTGTGAAAATTAAGGTTTAGTGTAATTATTGAATTCTTTCATCAATATTTTTGCTTTAATAAAGTTGAATTTTACATGATTTCAATTAATTCAATTCATATATAGATAATTTCTAAGCCATTTATACTTATATTAACAATTAATTAGTTATATGATAAAAATATTAATCTATATGATATAAACTATAATTATAATATATCTCATTTTTTTTAATCTTAAACTTAAATATGTTTAATTAACTTATTTTAAAAAAAATTCTCCAAAATATCAAAATATTATATTGAAGATTTATTCTCTGATATTTAATTTATCTATTTTTCATTCTTTTCTTTACTCTCAATTACACTTTAAGAATTATCATCATTTTAGTTCTATTAATTTGTAGGTTTAAAATATTCTAATAGAGTTTTTGATTTAAGAACTTTTATTTGAATTGTTTTCTTTTATTATTATTGATTCTCATGATTTTATTATCCATCTTAAGATTAATTTTAAATTGGATCTTATCTATTTTCATCTTTTAATATATTGTTTTCTATTTATTTAATAGTGAATTATGATAATATTACTGGTTTGAGTTAGAGTACCTTCATCTTATTCAAATAATATTCTACTGATAAATCCTATAATTAATTTCCTGTTAAATGTAATTCCTCTCTAGAATCCCTTTAAATTTTTAATTATCCAATTTTATTTAAGGCATTCATTATGCGACTTAAATATTCTCTTATTAATCTGATATTATGTAATTCATTTTCATTAACTAACTCTTTTAAATCAATTCCCTCTTTAGTTTATAATGGAAAGTTCTGGCAAAACTAATGTAACATTTACATTTTGCTCCATTTACTTATTTAAGTAAATAAACTTAAAGTTTCAAATAGAATTTTATATTTTTCTATTCCACTTAAATCTCTCTTCATCTGTACATTAGGCATTTGCCAATAGGGAATTACAAAAAATGTTTTTTTAATAAGTTTTTTCCATTTATCATCTGTCCATTCAAGTTTGATATTACTATCTTCTAAATATTATTCAATCTATTTTTAAATAATATTTTCTTTTGTTTCTATATTTAATATAACTTCATCACCACTTTCAACATATCCTTCACCAATTGCTCCAATTAATTTGGATATAACAATTTCATCATTCAATTTAATTTCATTCTTATATTTTTCAATATACTATTTTATTCTATCATTATTTAAATTTATTGTTGGAATTCCAATCTCAGTGAGAATTGTAAATTTAGTATTATAAAAGTTTATTTTTTGATTAATTATATCCTCTACTTATGTATCTATCCTTTATTATTCTTTATTTCTTTAATTTTTTTATTTTGTAGTCTATTTATTTTTTTTTTAATTTTAATTCCCTTTTTTGTCAATAGATTATT